AAGCTTCAATTCTATGCCAGTGAATGGTGCTTTAGAGGGTAGAGATAGACACACTGTTTGGCGATACCATCTTAATAGCCAAGGACTCCCTCCAAGTTCCTTCATGCTAAATTCCACTGAGCATTCCAGAAATCCAAACACTTACTAAGCAAAACACATCCTTTCTAAAAAACTCTGTATTTCTAACTATGCTTGCCTTGTCATTCATTCTAGCCTAAAGTAAAATGATTCTTCTAAAAAAACAAACAAAAAACCACAACAAACAAAACCAAAACACAACACCTACTTGGATTTATTTCAATGGTAAGCCATAAAGAAAAAGAAACCAACACAAAAAAGAAGTAAAATGGGAGAAAGTAGAATGAATACAACTTTTCATGCATACACTAAATAAATAAGATTATGGAACTCACTGGTGCACAGAACAGTGACTCTGGTTTACACTCACGCTCCTTCAAATGCAAGAATGCAACAGCAGAGGCTTCCCAGGAAAGCTGCTCTCTTAACTTCCTCCTTGTGTGGAATAGCCCAATCAATACTGGTAATGACAGCCACAGACACAAATAAGGGGAGGATGTGCAGAGTACTGTTAAAATTGAGTTTCGATCACCGTATTCAGAGCAAATCAGGTTAACTGTTGCTCTGATGAGTCTCACTTTTCCTGAAAACACACATCATGGCCTTGTCAATATTTATCCAGTGTTTCTAAACAGTAAAACCACCACAGGTTCACTGTTACTGCTCATCAAAAATCCTTTATAATTAATCTTTATATTCCAGAGTCTGCTTTAGGGTGAAAGTAATTACACAACATTACTTACTCCAAGACTTAAAAAGATAATAGAAACAAGAGTCAATTATAATACAGATAATAAAACAACCTACCTCTGAGTGCAAATCCACAAAGTTGTTAATTTCAGGTAGAAGGGACAAGAATTTATGCACAACAGATAATACCTGGTTGCTGGGTCAAACTACATCAGACACAACCTTGGCTAACAAAACGCCCTTCTGAACAACTGCAGTATTATCTATCACACCTGTCAGCTAAACTGTTTCAGGTGAGTAGAGATATGCTTGCGACATTTTGTTTCACAAATATTATGCTAATTTTACCACAAAGGGCTTGTCGTCCTGGCAGGTGTGACAAGCAGCTCTGATGTTGAAAGTATTACAAAGAAAACGCTGTGCTATAGGAGAGGGTAAAATACTGCCTGGAACACCTGTTGACTGTTTGCAATTTGCCACCACTTGAACTGTAACTCATCCTCCCTCCATTTCTGAAGGCATAAAGCACTTTAGAAATGTGCTTACTGCAAAACAAGAAACGTTCACAGGCAGAAACTGTAGCGACAGAAAAACATCCTGTCTCAGAGGACGTAAGATGACTTGAACATTCTGTTGTGGTCTATCAGTAGAACCAGCTACAGCTGGTGCCAGCAAAGCTGCCGAAAGCCTAAATAAATCAGCTTTCTTTACAGGAAAACTTTTGAGCAAACGTACATACTTAACTTAAATAAATAAATAAACAAACAAAAAAAACCAACCCAGCATTCTTCTCAGGAGAGTTCTCACCTAGGCTGTACTAAAACATCACACTTTCTCAGAGAATTTTGAAAAAACATAAAGCCCACCTGGATTTGGACTCTTTCAAGCCTTTCTGAAACTCAGATAACTTCCTCCCATTAGCAAGATATATAAATCTTCATGATCTATATCTTTAATGGTACTTTTAAGAGTTTAAGGCTGCATGTAACCTCATTTATTAGTCACATAACAAATATTTTCTTTGACGAATCATAAGATCAACCATAGCTAATAAGTTTTTTTTTGTAAAAAGTCTGCATTACCAAAAACACCAGTTCAGTTCTAAAGAGAATCTTAAGCCTTTTGACCCACTCACAGTAATGATCAAAAAAGAGCTTTAATTTTTTAGGCAGAAGTAACACCCCAACAGTTAGGAAAGCCAGCACTTCAACACATTTGGTGCGTTTGAAAGATGTACCAGCCCTTATAGGCCTAAAAAATTACCTCCTTCAGGCATTTCACAGACTTTAAAAGGGACTAATATTCAGACCCTATTGATAAAAAGAGATATTGAAACTTATATTAAATAAATAAAATAAAAAAGTCTTGGGCATTGAGCAAATCCCAAAGAGAAGACCCTGCAACAAACAACTACCTTTGCTTGTCTCAAGTCAGTTTGAAGTGGAATATTATCTGGTCTTTGGACAGTTTTAAGTGCCGTTTTAACTCAACAACACCAAAACTTTTCCACATCTTGTAAAACAGCTGTTTATCTTCAACAAAAACGTGTTTACATACCCTGACCTGAAACCTACAACAAACTGGAATCAGCTTTCACCCTCAACTTGCTCACCTCAACAGGACCCTGAGTAATTCTGGTCAGTTTGCTGTAAATAACCACTATTTGTTACTTCACTTGACCAAACACACACAAAGAAGGAAGACAGGGGCGGGTGTGTATGTGAAGGGCCTCCTGAACAAAGCTTGCTCACTAGGAACAACTTCCTCAAGCAAGAGGCCGATTTGGTCTTGACCTCCCACAGATATGCAAAAACATTTCTGAGGAACTGAAAAATACATATAAAAAAAAGAAAAATATAAGGTAATATAAGATATAAGATATAATATTATATCTTATAATATAAGATGTGAGCCCTGCAGGAGGCAGAGCAGCCACACGAGCTAATTCCTTACTGCAAAACAAGAAACGTTCACAGGCAGAAACTGTAGCGACAGAAAAACATCCTGTCTCAGAGGACGTAAGATGACTTGAACATTCTGTTGTGGTCTATCAGTAGAACCAGCTACAGCTGGTGCCAGCAAAGCTGCCGAAAGCCTAAATAAATCAGCTTTCTTTACAGGAAAACTTTTGAGCAAACTTACATACTTAACTTAAATAAATAAATAAACAAACAAAAAAAACCAACCCAGCATTCTTCTCAGGAGAGTTCTCACCTAGGCTGTACTAAAACATCACACTTTCTCAGAGAATTTTGAAAAAACATAAAGCCCACCTGGATTTGGACTCTTTCAAGCCTTTCTGAAACTCAGATAACTTCCTCCCATTAGCAAGATATATAAATCTTCATGATCTATATCTTTAATGGTACTTTTAAGAGTTTAAGGCTGCATGTAACCTCATTTATTAGTCACATAACAAATATTTTCTTTGACGAATCATAAGATCAACCATAGCTAATAAGTTTTTTTTTGTAAAAAGTCTGCATTACCAAAAACACCAGTTCAGTTCTAAAGAGAATCTTAAGCCTTTTGACCCACTCACAGTAATGATCAAAAAAGAGCTTTAATTTTTTAGGCAGAAGTAACACCCCAACAGTTAGGAAAGCCAGCACTTCAACACATTTGGTGCGTTTGAAAGATGTACCAGCCCTTATAGGCCTAAAAAATTACCTCCTTCAGGCATTTCACAGACTTTAAAAGGGACTAATATTCAGACCCTATTGATAAAAAGAGATATTGAAACTTATATTAAATAAATAAAATAAAAAAGTCTTGGGCATTGAGCAAATCCCAAAGAGAAGACCCTGCAACAAACAACTACCTTTGCTTGTCTCAAGTCAGTTTGAAGTGGAATATTATCTGGTCTTTGGACAGTTTTAAGTGCCGTTTTAACTCAACAACACCAAAACTTTTCCACATCTTGTAAAACAGCTGTTTATCTTCAACAAAAACGTGTTTACATACCCTGACCTGAAACCTACAACAAACTGGAATCAGCTTTCACCCTCAACTTGCTCACCTCAACAGGACCCTGAGTAATTCTGGTCAGTTTGCTGTAAATAACCACTATTTGTTACTTCACTTGACCAAACACACACAAAGAAGGAAGACAGGGGCGGGTGTGTATGTGAAGGGCCTCCTGAACAAAGATTGCTCACTAGGAACAACTTCCTCAAGCAAGAGGCCGATTTGGTCTTGACCTCCCACAGATATGCAAAAACATTTCTGAGGGACTGAAAAATACATATAAAAAAAAGAAAAATATAAGGTAATATAAGATATAATATTATATCTTATAATATAAGATGTGAGCCCTGCAGGAGGCAGAGCAGCCACACGAGCTAATTCCTGCCAGTGCTCATCCCACCAGGAAAAGGGTTTCACCTCTCCTGACCTGGACACCCAGCACGGAGCTGTAAGAAGCACTGACAGGCGTTTCACTCCAGGGCCGAGCGGCAGGGTCTGGAACAGCTCAGCTTTCCAACGAGGGACCAGCCCCGAGCTCCTCTCATTCCTGGCGCTCCGCAGGGACAGCTGCGGCGGCAGG